CCACCTGAGCCTCCTGCAGTCCTCGCCCCCATCGTGCCCTTCTGACGCCACCCTCTTCCCTCCCCTCCCCCCATTTCCTCCACTTCTGTCTTTCCATCTTCCTCTCTCTTCCCACTCCTCTTCCTCCTCTCCTTTCCTCTCAGCCCTCCTTCTTCGCCGGTCTCCTGCTGCCTGCTTCTGTTTCTGCTGCAGAGCGTCAAAGCTCAAATTTGACCTGAAGAAAGCAAGAATTTTTTTTATTTTTTTATTAAATACCCACATAACAGCTTAACTTAATCTCAGAAATGTGATTTTTTAATGTAATAATTTTTAAATTTAGCTGATGCTGTGAACACCTTCAAAGAGCAGATTGTTTTTAACCAGCCTTCTGTCCAGTTTCTTCAGATTCTTCAAAAAAAAAAAAAATCTACATTTTTGTTTAATTTTCACCTTATCTTCTGACTTTTTATCTCAAAATTCACAGAATCTAAAGCTCATTTCCCCACATTTTTATGACTCATTTATACCATTCATAAAAGACTAATTTCAACATTTATAATGGTCGTGTTGTGTTGTACGTGGGACAGTTAGTTTTCCAATTTCATTGTACTATTGTACTATGTATGACTGTGCAATGACAATAAAGAGTTATCTTAAGTAAAAATTATAACTTCTTATATAGTAGCCTTTTTTAAGATCTTTTTAAAAAATATGTCGAAGTATGCTTTTAATCCCCCCCCCTTCAAACTGTTAATTTTGGCTTTTATTTTAGTTTAAATCTTAAAACTAAAGAAAAAATCAGTCATTTAATTCTTCAATCATCCAAAGTTTACATTTTTAAGGCCAACTAGGTCTTAAAATTTGCTTGCACCCACCTTGCCTTGTACTCCCCGGAGCTCCGGACTCTGCTGCCCGCGGGTCTCTCTTCGATATCCCGCGGCTCTGCTCTCCTCTCCCCGCTCTCGCTTCGGTCAGGTTGTCTCCTCCTCTTTGCTGTTTCCGTCTGCATATCTGAGTTCAGTGAACCTGGAATTGCATTTAAATGTCTGTTACTGTCACGCCTGAAGCTGTCCGATTTCCTCTTTGGGACCCCGGAGACTCTTTTGGTTGCTCAGACGCTGCTGTTGCCCTGCCAGCAGACGCACACGAAATTACAGCGAGCTCTGTTTACAAATCGTCTAAGTTAATTATTGCCTACAAATAATAAAGCTTGTACAAGTTCTGCAAAAACAGTTACGACTAGTGATGAATAAACGGACCAGGTGATCAATTCGGCATCAGTAACAGAGCCCCCCAAAAAACCGTATTTCCGCAAGATTTCTACTTTATAACTTAAATCTCTACGTATATCCTCAAGCGCTATAAATACTTGTCAGGTATTTCCTGTTGGGATTTTTGTCATTTTACACAAGTCTTTGTTGGCTTAAATGTGTACCGAATTATTTAAAATACTGTCTTCATCCTAACCAAATTGTTGAGTTTTCACTTACCTCTCTGACACTTGCTATCTATCGAGTCAGCGACGAACTCCATTATTTTGTGAATGAAGCTTTGTTCTCGTACGATAAACAGTCCCGAAAAATACTCTTATTTAATAAATAACCAACATTGGAGGGGTTTTTTTAGCTTCAAACCCGTGTTTAATCATTATGCGACGCTCAGTGTCATCTTACCTAAGCACACATTTAGAAAGAAAACGTTTAAAACACTGTTATTAACACTTACTGTCGCACTAAAACCGAAGCCGTTTGAATCTGACGCCATCTTTAGCGTCAGTACGTCGCTTCCGGATCAGCGCTGGATTGGCTGGTTAAAGTTTTTTATTTACGTATTTATTTTTATTTGTTTTGAATGCATTTTATTTATCTTATACTCAATTTTAGAGCAGTTTATCAGATTAAATTATATTTCATTAAATTTGGTATTTTTGGTATAATTTAATTATTTTTAGATGAACATCAAAGAGTACTCACAGGATTATATATATTAAAGAGTTACTTTATTATATTAAAGAGTTACAAATATTCCCCTCAGAACACACAATATAAGCAAGTAAGCTTTAGCATGTTTATTTTTTA